AGTCTATTAGCAGTGTAGCTTGTATCGCCATCCGAGAATGGGAAATGTTGGGTGCTCTTGGAGAGTTTAACCTATATCATGGTGAATCCGTTAAATCTACAGCCTTGTTTACAGTAGTTGCCCAACCTACACTTGTGAACCGAGTGTTAGAAGCGCAGATGGGTGATCTTGAGGTAGAAACCCTTAGGGAGAAGATCTCCAATGGGAAGGTAGAACGGGGCTTAAGTGTGTATCCTGACTCGAGTATTAGATACCGAAACTGTTTGCTTGTGCCAGAGTCTTGCCGAGAAGAAGTACTCCGAGAGTTTCACTATTCTCGCCTTGCGGTGCATCCGGGAGGCACAAAGATGTATCATGATCTGAGTCTCCAGTTTTGGTGGAGAGGAATGAAAAAAGTTGTAGCCGTGTTTGTATCGAAATGCCTTACTTGTCAGTAAGTGAAGACTGAGCATTAGAGGCCAACGGGTTTGTTACAACCCTTACCTATAACTGAGTGGAAGTGGGAGCATGTTACGATGGACTTCGTTGTGGGTCTTTCGAGGACTCAACGAGGTAGTGATGCTATTTGGGTGGTAGTTGACCGGTTAACCAAGTCTGCGCACTTCATACCTATGCGCGTAAGTGATTCAATAGACCATCTCGCCTTGTATATCAGGGACATAGTGAGGTTGCACGAAGTCCCTATGACGATCGTTTCAGATAGAGATTCACGTTTCACAGCCTGATTGTGGCAGAGTTTACAGAGTACCTTGGGCACTAAGTTGACCTTTAGTACTGCGTATCATCCTTAGACTGACGGACAGTCAGCGCATACTATTCAAATCCTTGAGGATATGTTGCGAGGTTGTGTGCTTAATTTTAGGGGGTCGTGGGAGAGGCACCTACCATTGGTGGAGTTTGTCTAAAATAACAGTTTCCGACCGAGTATTGGCATGGCACCATCTGGGGCCTTGTATGGCCGATCGTGTAGATCTCCGGTATGTTGGGCCGAGGTGGGTGATGCACCTTTGTTGGGCCCATAGTTGGTACAGGAAACGACGAAGAAGGTAGCACTTATTCGTAAAAGGTTGGTTACAGCCTAGAGTCGCTAAAAGAGCTACGCAAACCGTAGGAGGAGACCCTTGTCTTTTGAGGTGGGGGATCATGTGTTCTTGAAGATATCACCTAGACGGCGTTTGATGAGATTTGGGAAGCATGAGAAGTTATCCCCTCGGTTTATTGGCCTTATTGAGATCCTTGAGCGGATTTGGGAGGTTGCTTATCGTTTAGCATTACCGCCACAACTTTCCGGGGTGCATGACGTGTTTCATATTAGTTTGTTTTGGAAATATGAACCGGATCCATCACACATGCTAGATTGGACAGACCTAGAGGTAGATGAGGATGCCTGGTATGAGAAGAGACCGGTGAGGGTCTTGGATAGGCGGGACGAAGTTTAGCCAGGCAAGACAATTCCCTTGGTCAAGGTACTGTGGAAACATCACAGGGTCGAGGAAGCGACTTGGGAGCGTGAGTTTGAAGTCCGCGAGAAATACCCGGACTTGTTTGTTGATGTTTAATTTCATATTGAGATTTCGATCATGACGATGAGAATTATATACATTGCATATGTTAAGAAATTTTGAAAACATTGCATATGTTATGGGCATTTTGGAAACATGGATTCTATATAAGCATTGTATATGTTTTGAGAATGTGGAATATCTTATGTGTTGTGTCACTTTTGGAAGCATTGTATATGCCACGTGAAATTTTGAAAATTTGAATTTTGATTTAAACATTGCAAATATTTGGGAAATTGTAAAATGTATCTTCAATGTGGACCTTGTGTATCGAGTTCATGGATATGGATGACCGGAGAATGGGTCATAGTGATGGACTTGTGAGAATAACATTGTTGTGAATGGTTTAATTATGTTGTGAGCTTGATTTGTAATTTCGAGGATGAAATTCTTTAAAGGGGGAAGGTTATAGAGATTTTGATTTTTAACCCGTCTCTTGTGGTATTCTGGACTCAGGTTGTATGGGTTTGAAAGATTATTCATGTCTTGTTTCCCTTGTCTCTCCTTTATTTTTAGTTATCAGATTGTAATTGTGCGTTTGGAACAGGTTTGTTGCTTTCTTTTCAAAACTTGTGTTGCCCAGATTTTGGCCTCTCCACTCAAGCGGGCTTCACAAATTTTGCTCCTCCGCTCAAGCGGCCATTCCCATGCTCAAGCGGAATTCTTCAACTCTCAACATTTTTTTTTAGGTTTGCAGATGCTGGAGAGCGCATTCGACGCTCGAGTAGGAGTCTGTGTCTAACGCTCAAGCGGGGATTCTTATGCTTGAGCAGGGACCTTCATCTATAGAACTTCTGGAAGTGTGTATTTCTCGCTCGAGCGACACTTTTCACTCTTGAGCGGACTTCTATGTCTGACGCTCGAGCGTCACTTCCCACGCTCGAGCGGACTCCGTATATAACAGTCAGAGAAGATGACATTTTGAATCACTTTTTCTTCTCTCTCTCTCTAGAACTTTCCAAAAAGCTTGTTCTTGAGCCTCTCTCTCTAGAATCCACCTTCTCTCTAGGATTTTATCTAGATCCATTGGGATTTCCACCATAGTGCGTTTGAGAAAAAGGTAGAGCTCGTCAAGATCTTTGCTTTGAACCGAGTAGAAGTGTGTTTCGGCATTCTTGGAACTCCACACTTGCTTGACTCGTCTTCTCTCTTTGAGGTAGGGATCTTTCTACACCTTCATATGATTTTTAGCTTAGTTATTGTCATTTGTGTAACAATGGTATTATTTGGGGATGTTTAAAACAAACCTAGGGTTTGGAACATAAAATACAAAGAGCGGTTTTGGATGTAGGTGAAATTAATGTTTGTGGAGTTTGAAAATGATGTTATGCTATATCTAATTTGATGATTTTGGCACTTGATTAATATTTGGGAAAAAAGAGGGGAGGGGGGGGGGAATTTTCCCTAATTGAATTTAAACTATTATTTTGTACAAAAATTGGAATTGGCATTGGGAAGGTGAAATTGATAAGGTGTTGATATAAATGGTGGAATTGGTTATGTATTAACTTATTCTTTTGGAAGTCTTGAATAAACTATTTGTTGAGGTTGAATATCTATTTAGAGATATCTGTATTGGACTATCGGTGGATGATAGCTTCGATTATTGTAGAAATTGCATGTGGATTAGGTAAATTGAACCTAATCTTTTGATGGTTGTCATTGAATATGACCGTGGTTATATATATTGTATATGTATGTTTATTTGGAAGTAGAAAGAGGATGTGATTCATGCGTGATTATCTTTTTAAATACATTGCATATGTATGGATATTTGTTTGGGAGGAGAAAGGGGTTAGACTCCACTATAATTAAGTTGGCCGGAGTGTCCTAGGTGAATGTCCCAAAATTATACATAGGTGCCTAGCCCGCGGATGAAATATCCATAAAATGGCAATTGTAGCGCTTGTATAGCCTACATTTACATGGGTCCCGTTTGACGACTGCTCGCGGACAAAATATCCGTGAAATGGAAGTTTGAAGTGTTTATGCATATGTGTTGTATGGTTTGAAAATGAGTGAGTTGAAATCTCAGTTCAGTTATTGAGAAATAACGAAATTAACTCATGAATAGAGACAGATAAGTGAACGGAATAAGAATTAAAAGTGAATGGATCAAGACTTGAAATTGATATTTTATGAGTATATGTGAGTATATGTATAATAGTGAAAAGTTTTGACACAAACATTGTTTATGTACTTGTACTTATACCTTTGCTAAGTTTCATATACCGTGTTAGATGATTTCTACTAGACTGTGGCTCAACCTACTTGGGAATAACATTTTCAGGTGTTGGTGATTTACCCCCACCAAGGCAATAACATTAGAAGGACCTTTGGGAAGCCAGAGCTTCATGTTTTGTTTCTCTTGTATAGCCTAGGGCTAATTTTGTACTGAGCGAAACTCATTTTGTTGTAACCAAGTCGAGGCTACGAAAGGTGTAAGCCATTAAGGCATCTATTTTTTTGAACCATTTTGTATCATCAACTTTTATTGTAATGAAATGAATATTTACTCCGATTTATGCTATCATTTACATATGTCTGTGGATGTATTTATGTTATTATTTTGGGGGTGTGACAAGACTGATTTGCCCCAAATGGATCGTAAGATCTGGATTAGGATTCTGATAGCCGTGGTACAGGGGTTCCAATATGAAAACTCATAACCTAGGCACAACTGTCACTTAAAACCTAGATGTTTAAGACTATGGATTTATATTATCTAATTGTCACAATTGTTTTTCTCTCGGTTTCTATCATTATAGATATTATAGCTTTATTTACAAGAACGATGTATTGAAGCATTGCAAAATTAACTTTTCATATGAGCGAGATAGTTTGTAAGGGAAGGCATCAAAAGGGAATGTTGCCCAGTCACAAAAAGATTAACCATATTAACCTAAAGCTTTCAAAACAAAAGGCCAAAACATGAGCATCTTCCCATTAGCTTTTGATTGATTTTCGAGGTTTTGGCCGTAAAAAGAAGGCACAAGTGTTGTGGGACTGCTTCTTTTGTGCAATTTTTTGGATTATTTGGTTGGAGTGAAATGCTAGAATTTATTAGGACAAGACAAAGGATGTTAATGTCTTATGGAAGCCTATCATCTTTTGGGGGCTCTATTTGCTCTCTTACCATCTTCGATTTAAACCATTGTTTGATATGTAAAACATGAGGCACTATTTACTTTTTTTTTTCCTTTTTGGAGGACTTCTTGTCCTCCGGCTCTCTAGTAATCACTTTCTGTTTTAACATTATCCAATTTTTGTTGCAAATGAAAAATATAATAATAAAATGTAAAATCAACCTGAATAATAAATTTTATTTCCCCCAAGTGTGGCTTTTATATTTATAGGAAAAAACTAATTCCAAAAAACAAACATGATATGTTCAACCATATGTGAGGATCCAACACAATAGAGAAACTAGAACTCAACCTTGTTGAAGTCGGGACAACCTTCAGGCCTCTGTTCCAAATACACATCACAATGGCTCAATTTATTGGTCTTGCACTGTCCAGTAGAAAAAAAGAAAAATATACCTCATAAGTAAGACTTATCATTCAAACATGCCTACTAATGTGGATACAAAATAATCTCTCACAAAAAAAATCAGTAAGAACATTACTTTCCACTAAACACTACGAATCTTTCAAACACTACGAATCCTTCAAAAAAAAAAAAAAACTGGAAATACGCTAATATATCATTTGTTTAACTATTTTAAATGCTTTTATAAAGTGGAAAAAGTGTATCTCTTTATAGAGCCCCACAAGAGGCTCGCATTCTTTACGCTTCGTTAACAGTTCATAATCATAGTTTTCACCAAAAAGCTTGAAGAAGCTTATAACTGCAGTCTCGAACCAATCTTTTGCAGGTACATGGAAAATGAAAGAAAGTGTCAATTGAGCTAGTGTCTTTACTTCCCTGAACAGTGAACACTAACTTCTGAAAAACTTACGTCTGCTAGATTATTAGTCAAACAACTATTCAAAGCCGATTTATTGATTATTTGTTAATTTTATTAATTTTTCTGATTGCTTTAGATAGTTATTATGAAGTAAAAGTAAAATTTAACCAAACCAAACCTCCAAGTTGTCCAATTTCCGTGCAGAGTGGTCCTATACCCCATTTAATTACAATAATAATCACACTAAAAAGTTTAACTCCTGCTTCCATCAAGGGTATTTTTTCATTCAAATTTTTCCATAAGAAGTTGTTTTTACAAGTAACATAGATGAATGTGCAGTTGAAGAAATAATACCAATTAGTCAAGGACTCAAAATAAGATATAGAATAGAAGAGTTCAATAAAATAAATTGATATGAAAATATAGTAGATATACTTACCATAATCCCCCCTGGAACTTGAAGAAGTCCCAAAAGACGTTCCTGCCAATTGACACAAACCAAATCAAACAATTATAGAAATAAATGAAAATCAGCAACCATATAAATTAGTCCCCAATATATATATACATATATATAATGCTTGCATTTGAGCCCACGTGATGCGGGTGCTATTATTTTTTGAAATCGAGAAGGGATTTGATGGTTGAAACTATAAAGAGTTTCTATTATGAACATGGGTATTGGCTTTTAATTACATAATTGTCCCTTTCTATGGTAAAGAAATACAAACAAAAAAACTATCTCACGCATGGGTGTTTTGGGGAAAAAATTCGTTGTGGCACTTCACCAAGTGTGTTCACATATAATAATAGTATAGATATTCATCCTTCAATCTCATTGTCAATAATACATAATGAAGTTCAGGTGAGTTTTATACTATTAGGGTTAGGGGCACCAGTGATGTAGATGAAAGATGTGGAGCTCATATGGCTTTGATAAATGATAGAGCAGTATATGCACAAGTAGGAAAGGGCAAGGGCTTCTGGCAAAGGAATGTTTGGCCGAGATATATATATATATATATATATATATAAACAAACATAGATTTTATGACAAGAATGCTAAGACTTTTACCATTACTCTTCGGATTAGGCACTCGTAAAGTCTGCGAAAACTCTTCTGCAAAAGTGACTCCAAGAAACAGCATAATTTAAATTCAAATAAATAATAGATGAAATCAGAGAGAGAGAGAGAAAGAGATAATAAAAAACTATTATTAGCCTTCAAACTGCCCCAAAGTGAAATAATAAGCAGCAAAATCCTTAACTAAGCCTCATTGAGGGTCACTGTAGACATTATACATATAACAAATAAGAGATGACGGGGTGAAGCTTGGCCACAAGCTGAATTGTAGACTCTAATATTGAAAAAGAGAAGAATAGGCAAGGCAATCCTTCCATGAATGTTAAAATATTAAAAAAAGATCTGAAGAAGTGTTAATGGAGGACATGAATTTGGTTCAGGATGACCAATCCAAAATGGATAACCCAACCCCATCGCCATTCCAATCCAAGGCTGATTTTTTTTTTTTTAATTGGCACCGGGGTGTCCAGATCAAGGCCCAACTAATCCCTAGGGGTGCTATGATGATCGGTTTCATTTTTTGCGTTACTTCACTTTTGTTTTCATTGGGTTTGCGATGTCCGGAAGCCTTTCTCAAATAATTTCTCGTTCTTGTTTATTCGGTGTTGATTCTTCACTGGTTCCAGAGAGTACTAGGTCGAGTTCGAAGTGCATAGAATAGAGCTGAGAGTTTTTTGGGCAGCTGGGCCACGGGCCGCACATGCGGGGGATGAGGCCACACGTGCAGGGTAGGGCGAGTTGTGAGAGGTTGCATACTGCCTAAAAGGCAGGTGCGGAATGAAGTGCGGGAAGGACCACCGCATGTGCGGGGGTGAGGGCCGCACGTGCGGGGAAGACGCTCCGTACGTACGGGATTCTGGCAGTCTGAATCTCTGTTTTTTTTATGTCTTTCGGCCAAATTTGCATCACATTTGGGGCCTCTCTATCTCACTCTAAACCTCATTTTTACTCCTCTTCCTCTCTAAAACCCCTCATCTAGCACTCAAGATCTTTGATTTCTTGTGATCCTTTGAGCCTAGAGTCATCATCCCTCTCTAATCTTGAAGATCAAAGTTAGGGCTCCTCTTGGTGTAGTGGAAATTAAAGAATCTTCCATCTTGACTCTAGGTTTGGGGCCTCTCTAAATCACTCTAAACCTCATTTTTACTCCTCTTCCTCTCTAAAACCCCTCATCTAGCACTCAAGATCTTTGATTTCTTGTGATCCTTTGAGCCTAGAGTCATCATCCCTCTCTAATCTTGAAGATCAAAGTTAGGGCTCCTCTTGGTGTAGTGGAAATTAAAGAATCTTCCATCTTGACTCTAGGGTTTCATCCCTTTCATCATCAAACCTTGAGGTAGGGATTTCTTGAGTTATATATACATGTTTTGCTATATTGTTGCTAATTTAAAGGTTTTCTTGAAGTTATTATATGGTTTTGATGTTGTGGCCAAGATGTAGAGATTTTCACATGTGGGTTTTAAAAAAAATCTCAAACCTTTCTAAAGATGGCATTTTGAGAGTGAAATCCTCTTAAGTAAGAAGATGGGGTGTTACTTCAAGTCCCTTTCAAGTATTTAGTGTGTGTGTGTGTGTGTGTGTGTGTGTGTTTTGTAGAGAAGAAAACCTAGAAATTTGGGGATTTTCTTGAATAAAAGAATATGAGGGTTTATGTTTGCCATTGTGTATAAATATATATAAATTCATAATGGTGTGCCTTGGAAAGTATGGAAAGTGGAGAGTTTTCCTTGTTTAATTATAAATGCTTGTATAACTACACAGTGATGTTGGGCTCCTCTACTCATAAAAATTTTGGAGATTGAAAGTGTTGTTTAAAATTTTGCGATATCATTAGAAATGGTGAAAGTAATGGAAGTGTATGGATTGTGGACATGTTATTGTAATGGTGATGATTGGTAACAAACTTTGGGCTATTTGTGGAATAGCATTGCAAGGAGAAAAAGGAAATTTGGTCATTTTTGTATATTGTTGATCTAACGTTGAAAGTGGACAATTATGGCATTGCATATTCATTCAATTGACTATTACAAGATTTTTATTGAACTTTGGCATGTTGCAGAGTTGAGATTTGAAATCATTTTGCTTGAGAAAGGAATAATGTGAAATACTATTATTGAAATGTTTATGGGGTAAATACGTTGGTAAGTCGGGTTAGGAGGTGTAGATGAATTTGTTAAGTTGGCCCGAGTGTCCGGGATGAAAGACCGAAAACACGCGCGGAGGAGGTACTACTTCCCTTCCGGTTCGCAACCGGTAAAGTGGGGTTATTGGTAGTGCTTGTTGAACCTACTTGCAGACACCAACCTAGTGGTAAAGTGGGGTTATTGGTAGTGCTTGTTGAACCTACTTGCAGACACCAACCTAGCAATTACTGGAGTCGTATTTACCGCCCCTATTGATTAAAATTGGAGATTTTGGAATTATTGAGATTTTAAATTATTGTTGAAACTTGATGATTTTTAAGAAGAGCTTGTGCATGAAATTTCCTTTAAACTGGCATTGCATGGCACCGCATTTAATATTGGAAAGTCTAGCATAACTGTATATACTTTGTAAGGATTCTCTACTAGGCTTTATGCTCACCCCTATGGGATTTTGGTGCAGGTAAAGATTTGCTGATCCCCCCGAGTTGAGGGCGTGAATATATTGTGTGAAGAGTGGATAGCTCTATTTTGTTGTGATTTAATTGCTAGCCAAGGGCTATTTTTGTATGGGTTCGGGAGCCCACTTTGGTGTAACCGAGCTTAAGCCTTGGAAGTTGTAGCCCATGAGGGCATTTTATTTATTTTGAAACTTGACGCTCTACATGCTATAGATTCATGTATTCATTTATCCTTGAAGGTATAATTTGCATGTGGAACTTTTGTGTAAACTTGTTGACTAATGATGTAAAGATGGGAGAATTGTTGTTATTATTTAGTGGATGTTGGTTGGCGTAGTAAAATTATATTGGTTATTTTCAGGGCGTTACAGGTGCGCAGGCCCTCAGCAAGGAGTTTTCCGCAAATGTACCATGGTTAATTCAAGGATTTTTACCAATCGGATGACCCCAAGGAATTGTTAGCACCTAAGAGGTTTCGATCCCTAAACCATGAAGGGAGCACACCCCCCAAGACCCAAGGCCTTGCCACTAGGCCAACCCCTTGGGGTTCAATCCAAGGGCTGAATTTGACACAACATTCATGTCTTCTAATAAATTAGGGAACCCGGTGTCATCCTCTTAAGCATAAAGACAATATGTCAGCCCAGTTACTATTGGATAACAATGCTAAAAGTATTAGAAAAAGGGAATAATGAAAAACAATAGTAGGTAAAGGAGTAACAAAATTATATGAATAAAAAAAATTATCAACACAGAATTATCCCTAATGCTAATCCTCAATAAGTGTGCTAAAATTGTTTCCCTGATATCGGTTCCAGATTCCAAGTCTACTTTTACGCCTTCTTTAGCCGAGTGATTAATTTCGTTGTGTACCGGCAAAATGAGGCTATGTAAATAATTATCATATTATTCAATAGCTTTTTGCAAAAAGTTTTCTTAAAAATAACAATAAACTTAAATTACATAAAATGTTTGGTGATGTTTGTCTATGCTATGCTCAGCACCCATGTGGTATTGAAATTACAGAGAGCTCTATAATTTTCAAAACTGTGTAATACAATTCTTTGGTTCCTATAGACAAGGGGTAAACAGTCTTGGATTTAAACTCAACTTCGAAAAAGATGTTTCACATGTAGAGGTGCCAACACATTTTTTGCATATGTAGAAAGTTGTCAATACTTTGCGACAGAGTAAGCCTCTTTGTGAAACATATTATTGGTAAGGTCTCTTGAATAATCTACTATGCAACTATTGAAAGAGAGAAACAGAGATTTGTTTTTTCAACTAGCCAGTTTTCCTAAATTACTTTAATATTTGAATTTAAATTTTCCTAGTTTGTTTTCTTTAGCATATTTTAATTTGATATGACTTATTTTATTGATTTGGACCACAAAAATTGGTGTTTAGGCAACAAACATAAAATTTATAATGAAATAGCCCAACCAATACAAAACAATGCTTCCAAATTGGATAGGGTACGATTGTATTGAGATTGAGATTTCACTATCCTACAAGATCCAACTATTAGGATCAAAAGGTCCTACTTACATGGGATTTTTTACAAGACCGATTTGGCCCAAATGGATCGTAAGATTTGGTTAGGATTCTAATAGCCATGGTAAGGGGGTTCCCAAATGAAACCTCAAAACCTAGGCACAACCGTTACTTAAAACCGAGATGATTAGGACTATGGTTTTATATTATCCAATTGTCACAATTGTTTTTCTCTAGGTTTCTATCATTATAGATATTATAGCTTTTATTTACGGGAATGATGTATCGAAGCATTGCATAATTAACTTTTCTTATGAGTGAGATAATTTGTAATGGAAGGCATCAAAAGGGGATGTTGCCCAGTCACAAAAATATTAAACCATGTTAACCTAAAGCTTTCAAAACAAGAGGCCAAAACATGAGCGTCAAGTAATAAAATTGATACTTCAATTTAAGAAAGCCTTGTGGAAGTTGCTCCCATTAGCTTCTGATGGATTTTCAAGGTTTTGGCAGTAAAAAAATGGCAATCAGTGTTGTGGGACTGCTTCTTTTGTGCAATTTTTTGGGTTATTTGGTTGGAGAGAATTGCTAGAATTTATCAGGACAAGAAAAAGGATGTTAATGTCTTATGGGAGTCTAACGTCTTTTTGGGCCTCGGTTTAGTCTCTTACCATCTTCGATTTAAATCAGTGTGTGATATGTAACATGAGGCACTGTTTACATTTTTTTCCCTTTTTGGAGGACTTCTTCTCCTCCGTTTCACTAGTAATCCTTTTCTTTTTTTAAATTATCCACTTTTTGTTGCAAATCAAAAATATAATAATAAAATGTAAAATTAACCTGAATAATAAATTTTACTACCCCCAACTGTGGCTTTTATATTTATAGGAAAAAACTAATTCCAAAAAACAAACAAGATATGTTCAAGCATATTTGAGGA